AAGTCGAATTTGTTTAGATAGTAGTAATGTATTTCTGTGTACATGTATGTACATTTAGGAGTTCTAGGAACTAAATAAAACCCGATGTTTTATATATTGTGTGTAACACAATTTCAGTTGTAGGCATTGCTATATTAGCAACAGTAAAGGAAATACCCTTCAGCACTATACCTGAATTTTACATTTACACAGACCTGCGAACAAAAGTTTGATTATTTTTTGATTGTAGAAATTAAAACGAAATTATCCAATTTCTATTGTCCAATACGTTCTACTATCCCATTAAAATTTATATTTTTGAACTGTATACTAGGGTTACTCCTCTTTTCTTAAAAAACGATTTCAAATAATTACTAAATAAATTACTAAAATAAATGTTTATCCCGTTTAATTATTTAAACTGTTCCCCCAAAATCAAACAAATACGCCATTGTTTCACCACGCATGAAATCGAACGAAATCGTATATAGGAGTTTTATCTATTTCGGAACCGTTTTTAAAAAAACTTAAGACATGTTATACAAGTCTAAAAACAAATTTCGTGTTAATCGGACGTACACATGTCAAGTATATGCATATGTTGCCAAAACTAAAGCAACCGAAGAAATGACCTGTAATTTTTTTGAAAATTAAGTTATAGTGAAATTTTTTCCGAAATAAACAGGTATTCATTTTAAAAAAAATATTCTATGGAAAACTAAATTGACTTAATTTTTCTTGATCAAAAATAAAACAACTTTTTGTTTTTATACCCTACACAACTATGTTGTCAGGGTATTATAGCTTTGTGCAGCCCCAAGAGTTTGTAACACCGCGAAATATTGGTCCTAGACCCACCTTTAAGCATACCGGTCGTCATATCTCGACTAGCTGAGTCGATCTAGACATGTGTGTCCGTCCGTCCGTCTGTCCATTATAATTTGTAAACACGATACAGGCCACAATTATGGAAGAATCTTCAAGAAATTTTGCATGTAGGATAGGTTCTGCCCAATGAAGACCCCGATTTTTTTAGGTAAAGATCGGTTAATATTTAGGGGATGAAATGGACCAAATACTTAATTTTTGTCGGTTTTTCTGGTCGCTCTAGAGGCCGCAATTATGACCCAAACATCGCGAATTTTTGCATGGAGAAGGGGATCGAGCCAAAGAATAAGCATGCCTGTTTTGATAAAGATCGATCAATATTTCGCGGGTCAAATGGACCCTGACTTTTGTGTGAAAAATGACAAAATTTGTATTCTATAGCGTATATATTTGCTCCTGAAGGACATAGACCCAAGAAGTTGATAGTATATCCAAGAGGAGTGGTTCACCTTTAAATTGATACCCATTATATAGTCGTATGTTCTCGGATGTGGGAGTTACACGTAAATATTTTCAGGAGCTTTCGTATTCATATATTATTTAGTAACATATTACAACAATAGAGGGGGAAATATAGCGCTCATCGTTTTGAAATTTTCCTTGAATATGGTCAAGGACAACGCTTATCATTTTCTGTGATGATCAGATTAAAATTTTGGGATGAAGTGGACCCAAAACTAAATTTTTTGTATTTTTTCGAGTCAATCTATAGGCCACAAGCCGGTCAAGAGGGTGCAAATATCACGAAATATTAATCAGGCTCGAAATAAACATACGCTAAAGATAGAGTTCCGTGGTAGTTGTGTAGGGTATCATATGGTCGGCCCGTCCGACTATACTGCTCCGCTCACTGGTTTTTTCTTATAGTCGACAGCAAAACCATTATTTTTGATTAAGGTAGCAAACAAACGAGGTATTAAATCAATAAAACCTTATTTTTTTCCTTGGATGTACGCATTCCGAACCTTTGAGAAGAAGTTATGTTTGTTAGTAAATCCACTTTTGATATTGCTATCTATGATGCTTCAAAGATTTTTCTATAGGGTGAAGGTGATTTTTAACTCCCGCAACCAATCGTTGACACGTTTTGGTTTATATTTGGGGTTATTGTCAAGCTGAAACACCAAAAAAGCGGTATATGTATATTCCTCAGCGAAAGGAGCCAAAGCATTTTCCAACACATTAAATCGAATGAGGATTTATTTTTTATTTTTGTAAAACGAATACAAGTTTTTTCTACTGAGTCTTTGTGCGTCGATTTTGTTCGGCGAAATTTTTGACATCTGAATACTCTACATACCGTATGTAGTATATCACGAATTCCACAAAAACGTCACCCACATAGGTAAAAAACACTTTTTGAAAAAAAGATATGAAATTATATTTCTTGCAATTCGAACAACATACACTGAATATAAACTGGAAAATGTTAAAATCTATATATGTATGTATGTACATATATAAAATAGAAAAAAATTTGTTTGTTTGTTTGTATGTTACCGATAGACGCCAAAACCGCTGAACAGATCTTAATGAGATTTACACTGTATGTCGGGGCATGCCCTGAAAGTAACATAGGCTATATAAACTTCTAAAATTCCGCGTGGATCCAAAGTTATAGCATCAATAGTAAACATACCTCAACATTTCTGAACATTTAATATGCGTTTATCTTAAGAATGGTTACAGATACCGTTTTAAAAATTTGCCTGAATAAAGAAGATGTGAATATACACGATCCATACAAAAATGAGCATGGTACGATCAACGAAAATGCACTTTTTACTGCATTTTAAAAATCTGACTATTGAAAATTTAAAATATTTTGTTTGTAGACGGATTCAGCCTGACTATTTTGCAAAAACAAAATACAAATGGTATCCCAAATAAACCGCCAACACTACTGAAGTTGTAGACGCAGGCACGGTTGAACTGTTTGGTTTGTTGCTGTATACTAGCAACACCAACAAAGTCGTTGTGTGCATTTGTCGCGATGTGACAACACACAACAGTGGGAAAGGTATGGTATTGTTTGTAAATACCTTGTTAACCTCGAAGTGAGGCTCCAGCGAAATTCTCATGCAGTTTATGTCGTTGGTCAGCTAAGTACTTCGCTTTGTTACAAGAGACATTTGGGTATGAAAGGTTTTTTGTATAGAAGCAATAGCTTCTGGGGAGAATATCCCAACAAAAAACTAAGGGAACTGATGAGGATCAGTGGCGTGATCCGAAACTATAGTCTTCCCTGCCTTACCCCTCGGCAAACAATGCCATACATTCCCCACTAATAAATAGTTGTTTTTTATAAAAACAACAAACTGGGATTCAGCCTGACTATTTTGCAAAAACAAAAGACGCTAAAAATGCTGGAAAAATTTTACTGAGATTTTCACAGAACGTCATAACATGCCCTGGGAATAACATATGCTATATAAACTTCTAAGATTTCCCGATGATGAGATGTTATAGCATCGAACGTGATCATACTTCAAAAATTATTAACATGTAATTTGTGTATATCTTAAGTACGGTTATAGATACCGACTTCAAACTATTGCTGAGTAACGTGAGTGTAAGTACGCATCATCCACACAACATGACCGCGGACAAGGGAAAATGCACACCTCATTGCATTTAAATCTATACGTAGAAATTAGAAAACTTATTGTTTGTGGACTGAAAAACCACTAAACAGATTTTACTAAAATGTTCATAGTAAGTCAAGCGTTCTCATGGAAGCAACATAAGTTAGATAAAACTGAGAAGTAATAGCATCAAAAGTATTCATACATCTGAAAGAATGTACATATGTATGTAGAACATTTTCTATGGGTTTATCTTAGGGTAGCGGCTTGAAAATATGGTTAAGTAACATGGATACAAATATTCATCATCCGATGAGGATATATTTTCGAACGATGGGGCTATGTATGTATGTTGAAACAAAAATTTTGTAAAATTGAAAAAAAATATGGTTGACATTATAATTTTCCATTTTTGTCAGTTTGTGAAAACAAGTTTATTTTGAACAAAATCAAACAAAATGTTATTTGGATTTCAAAAAAAAAAAAAAAAAAAAAACATTGAAGTGAGTTTTGTGCATTTTAATTATAAATTGTTTTATTATCTGGAAAAACGTCAGAGACTGGGATAAGATAAATTCAGATACACCACTAATTTTTTTTAAAAAACTACCATTTTGTGGGGGAGGTAGCAGATGGAGGTGATCGATTGTGTAAAATTGATAAAAAAGTATTGACATTGTAATTTTTGAATTGTTGTTACTTTTCGAAAAAATTGTGTTCCAAGAAAACAAAAATTACCACCATTACAGAAAACAGCGAATTATTTAATAACTACTATACAACTACTACAACATGGACATTTCACACTCTTTTGTACTGTTAATGCGAACTTATGAAAATACCAGGTTTTACCTAATTTTACGTAAGCCGATTGGCTTACGTTTTCGCCTTTGTCAAAGAAAAACAGTCAATTTTCAATACCCTGTAACTCACAACTCAATACACCAAACAAAAAAAATATATTAAAATAATTTTTTTACTGCTGGCATAAATATGAAATTTTTTGATCGAAACTTTACGAGAAATATATCAGTACAGCCATCTGCCGAAAAAATAATGGATTTAATTTTCCCATGGATCTCGTCTGATTTGACTTAAAATTAAGCAACATAGATTTAATGACTTAATCACGCAAAAAAAAGAATCGGAAAAAATGCAAAGTCAGGGTAAACATATTTCAAAGAGCACATAAGTTGTACAGTGGTCTACTGGAAACGTGCATTCAAAAACTAACCTTAATATATTTGCATATTAACCAAAATACAAAATCAAATCTATAAAACATTTCCAAGTATTTCAAACGCAAAACCGCAATAAATATACCATCCAAACTTTGGTAGATTTATACAAAAACCAAACAGTGAAAACAATAACTTGTTGATGGTAATTAAAAATTCTTACATTCTTAGTATTGTTAAGCACAGAAAACTGCGTACATTACTATATATGGATGTAACGTCATACGTATTTAAACATAATTCCACATTGTGTTAAATTTATATGACAATTTTTGCACATTTGAATTCTCAAATTCCAATTCTTACGTACCAGGAGAGCTCGGCCTTAGGTCATCTCTTAAAAATCCATTGTTTGTTGTCCAAATCCGATTGGTGTTATAAGTTCTATCCATTTTTTGAGTTGTTTCTTAGATTTCTACTTTCATTTTTAGGCGACTCACTCACAATTACATATAAATCACAACAAAAAAGCACAGACATTCATCTTTTCATTTTTAATAAATCACATCACATTTTTTGCATTCTCAAAATATTTCTTTCTTTATTTTTCCTTTAATTTCCATTAATTTTGTTTATTTTCTTTAGCCCTTCACATTTTCTTGTCTTTATTTTCTCGCTTCTTTGAGCTCAAGTGCCTGACTGACGAGTATGTTGCTACGTCGCTGGGTTGCTGGTAACACGTCGAAGGTAATGAATGCCAACAACGAAATAATGAAAGCGAATGCCGATATGTCCTTGCCACGTTTACGTTACCACAAGAATGCCGGTGAATTGAGAGAGTTCCTCGAATAACGCGAGCCTTTTATAAAGTTCGTGCCAACGTGCTAGCATTCTAGCGTCTCTTCGCTTTTCACCCCATATGGTAGTTCTTCCCACCAATCAGTTCTACTACCAATATTGGTAGCAAAGAAGAAAAACCACAACAACAAACAACAATAACAGCAGAAACGACGACGAATGTACTAAATGTTATTGTTTTCTTTTTTTTACGAAGCTAAACGATAACACCACTGTTGTCTGTTGTTCCAACTGCAATTGAATGGGGACACACACTGATTGCTGTTGTGAGTTTCCACCTGATGACGTCGTCTAATAATGCTACCAACAAGTTATGCCGACAGACAGACAAACAGAGAAAAGCAAGGACATCAGCGAAAATCCTAGGGTGGATTGTGAATGTAAATTGTTATAAAATGCCAAGGCATTTTTTGTTTTGTTTTGCTTTTGATATAACCTAGTGCCCCAGACTGACTGAGAAAGTGTAACAATAATCGATAACCGGTATACCTGAGAAAAAGATTGATTTAAATTCTCAAAATATCTAATATTGAGGCCACCTTCATATGGGGCTACATTAAAAAGGGGATAATTTTGAAATTGTTTGGTAGTGAGATTTGCCAATGAGGATACCAAATACCAAATTACAGACAAAATCATCCAAATACTACCTTGAAACTTGAGTCAATATTAATAATTTTTGGTACGGAGATGTGCTATACAATGAGAACCGAAAATACCGACTTACGACCAAGTCGGTGGTAAAATCCCAAAAATACCGAGTATTAGAGGGTACCGTAATATGGAGGCTACCTTGAAACTTTGATCAATATTAACAATTTTTGGTACGGATATGTGTTTTTCAATAAGAACCCAAAATACCAAATTACAGCCACTTCGGTTGGAAAACCGGTCCATATAGGACCGAATATTGGGGGTACCTTAATATAAGGCTACCATGAAACTTTGGTCAATATTAAAAATTTTTTGGAACGGATATGTGTTTTTCAATAAAAATCCAAAATACCAAATTACAGCCCTTTCGGTTGGAAAACCTGTCCAAATCCCCAAAATACCGAGTATTATGGAGTACCATTATATGGGGAGTACCTCGAACCTTGGATCAGTATCAATGATTTTTGGTACGGAGATGTGCTACACAATGAGAACCCAAAATACCAAATTACAGACAATTCGGTTGGAAAACGTGTCCAAAATCCCCAAAATGTCGAATATTTGGGGGCACCGTTATATGGGGGCGACAGCAAAACGGATGGATGGACTGATATATCCCATTTACAATACCTATGAGTACTATCAATGTCTGTGCAAAATTTCAAAGCTCTTTAATAAATATATCTCTCTCAATCGTGATTTCAACAATGGACTAATGGGGCGCATCGTCGGACTTGAGTTAGAGTTAGTAAAAATATTACGATGTACATAGTTTGGATCAAATCGGATATTCCATATTATATGGGTCATTTACGTCGGACTTGAGTTAGAGTTGGTAAAAATATTACGATGTACAGAGTTTGGATCAAATCGGATATTCAATATTATATCGGATATTCCATATATATGAGTAAAAAATACAATGTGTAAATCCATATGAGATTTACAAGATTTCAAAATATTGACTCTTTGTGGGGCTTGGTTGAAATATTGGTTTGTGTAAAGAGAGATGAAAATAGTCGGTTTGCATGATATTTTAAATGAACATTTTATAGGGGGTGCCAGAAAGAGAGGACCTAATTGCCCCATCATAAGTTTGGAAGAAATATTACGATCGGTTACTCGTTTCGAAAGTAATCGTGCTCACCATCCAGTTAGACAGACGGACTTTTGTAAAGCGGCTCCAAATTATCTGTAACGGATTTGATCCGAAGAAACATGGGATCTAAAAGAAAAATTTCGATGAGACATAATTTTACACAGCGTACTGAATTAGGTCCAAATTGATATATGGGAGTTTGTTGGAATTGGTTCGGTTTTAGATAAAGCTTCCGTATATCGTTTCGTCCGATTTTATATAAATGGAGCACAAAAGAGTCACATTAAGGTTGGCACAAAATTTTACACAGCGTACTGAATTAGGTCCAAATTTATATATGCGAAGTTTTGTTGCAATCGGTTCACATTTAGATATAGCTCCCATATATATTTTCGTCCGATTTTATGTAAATAGAGCACCATACTGCCAATATTTGTCCGATTGAGACAGAATTTTGCACAGTGTACTGAATTAGGTCTGGATTGATATATACGAAGTTTTGTTGGAATTGGTGTAGATTTAGATATAGCTCCCATATATAATTTTTTCCGATTTTACGTAAATAGTGCACCATACTGTCAATGTATATAACTCCCTCATATATTTTCATCCGATTTCATCAAAATGATGTACCAAGTAACTAAAGTTTGTCCGCTTAGGGCGAATTAGTGTACAGCGTACAAAATCGAACCTAGAATAACGTGTATTGGATTTTGTATCGAGATACATTTTGGATAGCGCACTGTGTTGCAGCATACCAAATGGTGGATGCCACGGTTGCTCAAATACGTCCATTTATATATAGATCTTATACATATTTTGCTCAATGAATGACATTAAATTTTTCGTAAATTTTAGATATGCACATCACACAATTGATTTCGCACGATTCCATATCAATGGTCCTCTAAAGATGCTATGTCTATTCTATGTAAAAGATATTGTACATATAAACATTTCTTGTATGTACCCAAAGTGGTAAAGGGTATCATATAGTCGGCCCTGTCCGACTTTTGAACATTCCTTACGGATTTTTTTTTTAAATTTGTAATCTTTTTTATTAAAAGCTGACAGGAGATTTCAAAAAAAAAAATAATAATAATGTGCTGAACCGGTTCGACGGCTCCCTTTGTTTTGTACATAATCAATGCAATCCCATCCATAATGAACGCAAGTTCCTTATGTTTTACATATGCACTCTGACTTCGCCATGTGCATGTGTTTTCAGTGTTCAAGTGTAGCCTGTCAAAATAAAGATTTTGACCACATCAAAGAAAGACCATCGGTGCATCATTTCGACCTGTACTTTAATTGCAAATTATAATGTACACACTAGTTAGGATATGTTGATTGGAAAGCGATACAAAATCCATTGTTTCCTGTAAATAAAGTGAATAAAAATAAATATAGGCTGGGCTTAGCTTTATATATGGATTTTTTGCATTCTCATAATTCTCAAAATCAAAACCTCGTCAATTATAAACACTTTACTATTAAATTTTGTCACCATTATTTTTTATTATGCTTATTAAAATTAGTTAACAATATTAATTAATCAACAATATATACATATATAAACGCCTCAATATTTGTTATTTTAATACTATTTACAAAGATAATAGTTTATACTAGTAGATAGGTAGATAGATTTGGTAAAAGAGACACAGATATAGAAAAGTTGATAGGTGCTACATATGACTTGTATTTAGATATCCTCGGCATACATTCGAATAGATATTTACAATAACGTCTTCATTTTCATTGCTTCATTAAGATCGGTTTATGTTCGATTTGATATCGTATGGCATTGTTCATTGTTCTTGAAATATTTAATGATGGCCAGATTTTCCAGGTGGTCCATAGCTAGTCGATGGAGCTCCACCACCAATACCGACACCAAGGCCGCCGCCACTACCGCCACCAATTCCACCACCAATACCGCCTCCACTACCACCGCCAATACCTCCACCAAGGCCGCCACCCAATCCACCGCCAATGCCTGCACCACCACCGATTCCACCTCCAATGCCACCACCACTACCGCCGCCAAATCCACCGCCAATACCAGCACCTGCACCAGCTCCGCCACCAGCGCCACCAACATCCTTTTGAGTCTTGTACTTGATGAAGTATACTTCGGGTTTGGATGGCTGTGTAGGTGCTGCCGTGGGTATAACAATATCCTGTTGTTCCTCGGGCTTCTTGACCAACACGTAAACCAAAGTTTTTTCTTCGTTTTGTGGTTGAACGGGTATGACAGGAGCTTGGTATGCGGGTGCTGACGGTGTTTTAATGAAAATTATTTTATAATTTTTCTGGGCTGGACCGACAGGAATATTTGGTCTAGGACGAACTTCTTCAGGTTCTTCAGGAGCAACATGGACATAAACACTTTTCTGGACCAAAGTACCGCCACCGCCGCCACCAAATCCTCCGATTGCACCACCACCTCCGAAACCGCCACCACCAAATCCACCACCTCCAGCACCACCACCAAAGCCGCCACCTCCAGCACCACCACCAAATCCGCCACCTCCAGCTCCACCTCCAAAGCCGCCACCTCCAGCACCACCGCCGAAGCCTCCGCCACCGAAACCACCTCCACCAATACCTCCGCCAAAACCACCTCCACCAGAACCACCGCCGAATCCACCTCCGCCGGATCCACCACCAAAACCACCTCCACCCGAACTGCCACCAAAACCACCTCCGCCGCCACCACTTCCTGGTCTGTTATAGGCATAACCAGCTTCTGGCTTAGCGGCAGCCAAGGCCAAACACGACATTAATATGAAAGCTTTCATAACTTTATTTGATCTTCGTTAACTGAATGGGTTTGGTAAAACTTTTTATATCAACTGAAGCTAAGTTATGGCTGCCGTTGCTTCTAATACTAAATCAGTTTTCTAACTAATGATCTTCAGTTGATGTCTCATCCTTTTATACTGAATTCGTCGAAGTACCTCACAGTGACCATGTATCGTGGGCCAGCATTAGGGATGCCAATTCGGGTGTAATTTCAGTTTTATTTTTTTTACGTACATACAAATAATTACAGATCGATTCATAGAGGTGTAGTAACAAAAATAAATGAATGTGGGAATGCAACTTAATAAAAATAAAAACAATTTATAATAAATTAATGATATCATAATAAAATCTATTATATTAGATTGAAGACTGCTGCACTACTGCCCAAAGCAACGAACAAAAAATTTGTGTAGATGTGCCAGGAGGTTTTGCAATTATTAGCTATACCATTTGATTTTATAGAAATAGTAATTTTATAGTAATAAAAATAGTGAAGCAAACATTCAAAATACCGAAAATCCATTGATATTTTTGTACTCTGAGAAAAAGAAATACCAAATTACAAACATTCAGAATGGAAAATGGGCATGGATGTTCTTTACCCAAGGAATACGAATTACAGCCACTTCGCTAGGCCAATAGCAATAAAATGCCTACAATGGAGGCGTTTCAACCCATGGACCTGTTCTGTCTATAACATACAATAAATAGTTTTAGCCAACAAGAACATGGAATACCGCATTACATTCACTTTCGTTTAAAAGTAAGCTTGGAATTATTTTCTAAATAAAAATAATCAGTCGCTTTCGCCGTCGTATATATATATATATATATATATGTCATATACTCTCAGCCTGTGGTTTGCAGATGTCTTCGGAATTACACCAAGGTTTTATTATTTGCTTTATAGAAGGTACATGTTGTTTTTTTTATCAAAGCTGTTTCGGATTTAATGTTTAAATCGATCATTTAATTGGCTTTAAACTTAATTTACAAGATTATAAAATATTAACCTTTTGCGGGGGATGTATTAGAAGGAGGGGGCCAACCTTCGGACTTTTAGGGGAGGTAACAAAAGCAGTGGACCATTTGGTCCCATTTTGGATGAAATTTGACTCCAAATTGTCTGAACCGGATTTGATTCAAAGAAATATTGGATCTAGAACCAATATTTCGATGAGGCACATTTTCACCGTATCAAAGTGGGCTATACCAAAAAGTGACTGATATGTTCCATTTTCAATGCCAAACATTATGGGAGTAAGCGCAATGTATTTAGAAACTCTCAAACAATATGTTAATGTTTGCTATCTCAGACAGTTGGAGAGATAAACTAACGGACATGACTTAATCGATATAGAATATAAAAACGATACACTCCATTGTGGAGGATATAAATGCAAAGATGTTTTAAGCGATGCATAGAAAAAATAGAATAGCAAAGATTCTGTTATAAAATTTAAATCGATTCTGATACAGAATACCAGCTTCATAATACATTAATACTTATACGATAAAACATTCACAGACGAATTGAACCGTTTCAAATGGGTTGTGTCATATTAGATTTAGTTCCGTTATCGAAACCGAAGAGAATTTATCAGTTTTACATGTTTGCAACTTTTTACTCCAAACCCGCTACTGAACCCACAAAACTAGTAATTTTTAAACTTTTGTTTTTGGTGATTAAAGAAAATTCCTTATTTTTGATGGCGGGCATGATAACTCTTCACTGGAACATCGGATTCCGCAAATTCCAACGGTGTTAGAAAGTGTACATGTCTGGCTCTCGTATGAACTATGATTATTGACTTTGCTAAAAAATTAACAAAATAGCGGAACTTTAAAATTTTTTACACAATAAATCGGCTATATCTTCAATAGATCTTGAGATTTCTTGAATTAGTGTATGATCCAATTAAATCAACAAATGAAATTTAATTAAGGAGAACGCAAAATAAAATGACGTTCACTTTGTAAATTTTGCCGAGTAAAAATGGTAAACAGGAATGTCAACTTCTGATTGGCTGTTGTGTTGATTTTTTCCGTTCCAAAATATAAACCCTTTTGTATCCTATAAGTTTCATTGCGAAATGCTGTGATTGATTTAGGTATAAATTTTAATATGCGCCTAAAAGTATGCAACTATTATCAGGTTTTTCTTCATTATATTAACACCCAGCAAAATCAACAATTTGTCATACATAGCTCATTTTCTTAATTTAAAACGAGGAATTAATGGATATCGTTTGAAATATAGATCCCTTGTATAATATTACGTCCGCTCCAAGCAATATTATTGTTTTAATATATGTCTGTCGAAAATTTCGGCATATGTTTGTTTGAAGCTATCCAAACCTATTTCACATTTACGGAATTCATATTTGGAATCCCGGAGAAATTTTCCATACAGGTTATTTTTTATTTAGAATTACTGGAAAATAAAATCGATGTCTTGACATAAGTTCTAGCCAGATTTTCCAACCAAAGGAGGCTGTTATTTGGGATACCGTTTTTGGAGTGTGAAAAACACTCAGGAAATGTTCTACAAAAAAAGTTGGTAGCCTAATATTCCAACCTGAGTACCCTAATTTGGTATTTCAGTTTTTCAAAGTATAAACTACGAACTACGAGAAAATTAACATTGACATCTTACACAATAAGATCCAATTTATGATATTTTCAATGGTGGAAGGTACTCAATGGTGGCCATAATAAATATTTAAGAACAACTAAACTGAAATTTAAAATTCACGATTCTTTTGAGGAATCCTAGTAACGTCCAAACAACTTCATCGGAACTTTAACAGCTTTGTTACTGATATTTAAGGTGTTATTTTTTATACGCGACTAATACTATTTCCTTTCTTTATTTAAGGTAGAAATGTAATATATTTTTTCTCAAAATAACATCTTTGGGTATTTTGTGGTATTTTCTACTCTCCAGAAAGAAAAAAACGCAATGGCTACCCCTTGCCAATAACAAATCGCAACAGACACAATTCACACAAAACGCTGTACAAACAAATTGAAAGTTGAAATGACTTCGAGACGGCGCTAACTTCCTTTACCAGTTTTGGTGTTCGTCGTCTGCAGCAAGTGATAGTTGATAGCGGTGCGCAAAGGTTTGCTGACGATGCTGGACATGATCGCTGGGCAGACGAGCAGATGAGACTACCAACCGTTTATGGTGTGAATCCAGAGAATAAAAATAATAGCAACGTCTGGAGATGGGCAAAAGAGAAATGCGGAATAAATTTGAAATTATTGGCATGTCGCAAAAAAAGTTGTTCATGTCGCACAAAGTGGGTCCGATGGTAGATACTAATTAAATTAATTGTTCTGTAACCAAAATTAGTCATTACAAATTTAATGTTGAACCGGTTTATATGATGGTCGATGTTCTATTGCATTTGACGATAGATGTTTAAAAAATGTAAAATACGTTCATATTTATTGTTTACGCATAAAAATGGCAATGCATTTTCAGAATGAATTTAATGAATGAAAATCTGTATTAAATGCATTAACCTAAAAAAAATGTAATAAATGATTGAAATTCGTTAAATTAAGTTTTTTTACATAGATGGCCGTCTATACCCTCAGCCTTATGGCTAATGAGGGTATATACACTTTGATACGGTGAAAAAGTGTCATATCGAAATATTGGTTTTAGACCACATGTTTCTTTGGAGTATATCCATTTCAGAAAATTTGGAGTCGATAGCCCGTCCGTCTGTCCGGCTGGTGCGCACGATAACTCTCGAAGGTAATAACCGATTTCATCCAAACTTTCCACATCTTAATATTTCTTCCAAACTTAGTTTAAGATCGAAGATGGGGATTATCGGTCCAATCCTTCTAGTACCTCCCCCACAAAATGGTCAAAATTGTGCTAAAAAGTGATTCGATTTTAGCGAAACTTTGTACAACCTATTATGTTTACCAAGCCTAGATCAAGTTCAAGGATGCGACCCATTGGTCCACTCCTTCTGGTACCTCCCCCACAAAATTGTAAAAATTGTGCTAAAAATTAATTTTATAATAACATGCAAACGGCATATCCGATTTGAACCAAATTGTGCACACCTATTCCATTAAACGAACCTAGATCGAGTTCAAATTTTTTTCATATTTATAAATCCAATATCAGGCGAATGGTATGTCCGATTTGAACCAAACTTTGTACATCCTATTACCAAAGCCAAGAAAAGATCAAGTTTGAAGATGGGATTCATTTGTCCACTACTTCTGGTACCTCCCCATAAAGAGTTAAAATGTTCAATATTTATAAATCCAATATCAGGCGAATGAAAAGTCCGATTTGTACGAAGCTTTACACGACCTGTTATCTAGATGAAGTCCGAAGATGACACCCATTGGTCCACTCCTTCTGGTACCTCCCCCACAAATGATCGAAATGTTCAATATTTATTAATCCATTAGAAGAATGCAATGCCGATTTGAACCAAATTTTGCACAACCAAGCCTAGACCAAGTCCATCCTCTGATCATCCTACAAAAAGGTCAATATTATATATGTGATCAACATAAAATCTGAAACTTTTTTAATTAAACATATACCTCATATATAAAACGAATAACAAAACTTGTATATAACTCCAAACACCTCCTCCGTAAACCATAGGGTTAGGGTATATATCTGTCGGCAACACCGACTGACACTTTTTTACTTGTTAATATTCTCAATGTTGTCGCTCCCTGTTTTAGGGTTGAAATTACCCTCTCCGAATTGACCCTAATAGAACAGGTTCTATTGATTTTAAGGTCGTTACAAAATTTCATTGACACATGTATAGTTGTCAAACTTACAATACGTGAATATGTCATAATATTTCGACGTATTTTTACATCTTTCGTATTTATAACTTGAACTTTTTCCATTTATGCACCTTTATTAACACACAATTTCTTTTATAAGATTGTTGTAATAGAAGCAGTGGCTCTTATAATAGATTCCTTTATAAATGTATTTCTTAACATCACTCTTTGCATAGTTCACTCT